TTTAGGGTTTGGAATGATGGTTAGGGATAGGGTTAGATTTAGTATTTGGAGTGAGGGTGACGGCTAGGTTTAGGGTTTGGAGTGATGGTTAGGGATAGGGTTAGCTTTAGTGTTTGGAGTGAGGGTAAGAGCTAGGCAGGGGCGGACTGACCATTTGGAAACTCGGTCACTGCCCAAGGGCCCGGGGTCAGTAGGGGGCCCCATGAGATGCCCCTGGTACCTTTTTCATAGGCTTTTTTGAGTTGGGCAAGGACACAGGAGCCCCATGATCCCCTATTGCCCGGGGCCCCATGAGTTGTCAGTCCCCCTGGGGCTAGGTTTAGGGTTTGGAGTGATGGTTAGGGATAGGGTTAGCGTTAGTGTTTGGAGTGAGGGTAAGGGTTAGGTTTAGGGTTTGGATTGATGGTCAGGGATAGGGTCAGGTTTAGGGTTTGGATTGATGGTCATGGGATAGGGTTAGGTTTAGGGGGTTTGGACTGATGGTTAGGGATAGGGTTAGGCTTAGGGTTTGGAGTGATGGTTAGGGATAGGGTTACGTTTAGTGTTTGGAGTGATGGTTAGGGATAGGGTTAGGCTTAGGGTTTGGAGTGATGGTTAGGGATAGGGTTAGGTTTAATGTTTGGCGTGAGGGTAAGAGCTAGGTTTAGGGCTTGGAGTGATGGTTAGGGATAGGGTTAGGTTTAGTGTTTTGGAGTGAGGGTAAGAGCTAGGTTTAGGGCTTGGAGTGTGGTTAGGAATAGGATTAGTTAGGGTTTGGAGTGATGATTAGGGATAGGATTAGGTTTAGTGTTTGCAGTGATGGTTAGGGATAGGGTTAGGTTTAATATTTGGAGTGAGGGTAAGAGCTAGGTTTAGGGTTTGGAATGATGGTTAGGTTAGGGTTATAGTTAAGTTTAGGGTTTAGAGTGATGGTTAGGAATAGGGTTAGGTTTAGGGTTTGGAGTGACGGTTAGGGATAGGGTTAGGTTTAGTGTTTGGAGTGAGGGTAAGGACTAGCTTTAGGGTTTGGACTGATGGTTTGGGATAGGGTTACGTTTAGTGTTTGGAGTGAGGGTAAGGGCCAAGTTTAAGGTTTGGAGTGAAGGTCAGGGATAGGGTTAGGTTTAGGGTTTGGATTGATGGTCAGGGATAGGGTTAGGTTTAGGGTTTGGATTGATGGTCAGGGATAGGGTTAGGTTTAGTGTTTGGAGTGATAGTCAGGGATAGGGTTAGGTTTAGGGTTTGGAGTGAGTGTTGGGGGTAGGGTTGGTTTATGGTTTTGAATGATGATTAGATATAGGATTAGGTTTAGTGTTTGAAGTGATCATTAGGGATAGGGTTACGTTTAGTGTTTGGAGTGATGGTTAAGGATAGGGTTAGGTTTAGGGTTTGGAAGGGTTAGTGAGGGCTGGATAGGGTTAGGTTTAGAGTTTGGAGTGATGGTTAAGGATTTAGGTTTAGGGTTTGGAGTGAGGGCTATGGATAGGGTTAGGTTTAGAGTTTGGAGTGATGTTAGGGATAGGGTTAGGTTTAGTGTTTGGAGTGAGGGTAAGGGCTAGGTTTAGGGTTTGGAATGATGGTTAGGGATAGGGTTAGATTTAGTATTTGGAGTGAGGGTGACGGCTAGGTTTAGGGTTTGGGAGTGATGGGGGATAGGGTTAGCTTTAGTGTTTGGAGTGAGGGTAAGAGCTAGGCAGGGGCGGACTGACCATTTGGAAACTCGGTCACTGCCCAAGGGCCCGGGGTCAGTAGGGGGCCCCATGAGATGCCCCTGGTACCTTTTTCATAGGCTTTTTTTGAGTTTGGGCAAGGACACAGGAGCCCCATGATCCCCTATTGCCCGGGGGCCCCATGAGTTGTCAGTCCCCCTGGGGCTAGGTTTAGGGTTTGGAGTGATGGTTAGGGATAGGGTTAGCGTTAGTGTTTGGAGTGAGGGTAAGGGTTAGGTTTAGGGTTTGGATTGATGGTCAGGGATAGGGTCAGGTTTAGGGTTTGGATTGATGGTCAGGGATAGGGTTAGGTTTAGGGTTTGGACTGATGGTTAGGGATAGGGTTAGGCTTAGGGTTTGGAGTGATGGTTAGGGATAGGGTTACGTTTAGTGTTTGGAGTGATGGTTAGGGATAGGGTTAGGCTTAGGGTTTGGAGTGATGGTTAGGGATAGGGTTAGGTTTAATGTTTGGCGTGAGGGTAAGAGCTAGGTTTAGGGCTTGGAGTGATGGTTAGGGATAGGGTTAGGTTTAGTGTTTGGAGTGAGGGTAAGAGCTAGGTTTAGGGCTTGGAGTGATGGTTAGGAATAGGATTAGGTTTAGGGTTTGGAGTGATGATTAGGGATAGGATTAGGTTTAGTGTTTGCAGTGATGGTTAGGGATAGGGTTAGGTTTAATATTTGGAGTGAGGGTAAGAGCTAGGTTTAGGGTTTGGAATGATGGTTAGGGTTATAGTTAAGTTTAGGGTTTAGAGAGTGATGGTTAGGAATAGGGTTAGGTTTAGGGTTTGGAGTGACGGTTAGGGATAGGGTTAGGTTTAGTGTTTGGAGTGAGGGTAAGAGCTAGGTTTAGGGTTTGGAGTGATGATTAGGGATAGGGTTAGGTTTAGAGTGATGGTTAGGGATAGGATTAGGTTTAGGGTTTGGAGTGATGATTAGGGATAGGGTTAGGTTTAGGGTTTGGAGTGATGGGTAGGGATAGGGTTAGGTTTAGTGTTTGGAGTGAGGGTAAGAGCTAGGTTTAGGGTTAAGAGTGATGGTTAGGAATAGGATTAGGTTTAGGGTTTGGAGTGATGGGTAGGGATAGGGTTAGGTTTAGTGTTTGGAGTGATGATTAGGGTTATAGTTAAGTTTAGGGTTTAGAGTGATGGTTAGGAATAGGGTTACGTTTAGGGTTTGGAGTGATGATTAGGGATAGGGTTAGGTTTAGGGTTTGGAGTGATGGTTAGGAATAGGGTTACGTTTAGGGTTTGGGAGTGATGATTAGGGATAGGGTTAGGTTTAGGGTTTGGAGTGATGGTTAGGGAATAGGGTTACGTTTAGGGTTTGGAGTGATGATTAGGGATAGGGTTACGTTTAGGGTTTGGAGTGATGATTAGGGATAGGGTTAAGTTTAGGGTTTAGAGTGAGGGTAACAGTTTTGGTATAGGGTTTGAAGTGGGGTTATTGGTTAAGTTAAGGGATAGTTGTGAGGTTAAATGTTGGGTAAAGGGTTTACTGTAAGGTAAATGAGCAAACCTTGAAATTAATTTAAGGTTAATGGTTAGCTTTAGGGATTTTTGTGAAACTGATAGTTACAAACCCAACCGTGGGCTGCAAACCCCTCACCCTTCCAGAGTTAGTAACGATTTTACATAAAAAAAACAAAAGGAGAAAATACCATTGCTAGACTCAAAGGAACAGTTGTCATATGAAGTAACAGGGTTTGGAAGTAATAATAAATATCAAATAACAACACTACTTGTCTTTTAGCGGGAATATTGGACACAATCTCCCCATCTTAATGCCATTCTAAAAGGAGTTATTTTTCAGATTTGTAGAGCATCAGTGAGAGTATGTGTTTTTCTCTTGTTTCATGGTATTTTTATGCATGTACACTTTTGACTGTATTGGCTCACTTTTCATAGGAATTTATACTTTTATGTCCCCCTTTGTTTAGTATAGTGACTTGAGCTGTGCTGGTAAATTTGAATCACAATATCATCAAAATTGTACGTAGGAGAGCTCTCCTTCAAGCGGAGAATTTTGTGGGTGGGCTTTTAAATGAGAGTTGTTGTGCCTTGTGAAAGGGTTAATAGTTAACTAACTTTTGCTTTTGTGCCTACTAACTGGTTTATTTTATTCAAGATTTTACCTTGGGAAAAATGATTTTTATAATTTTGTACAAAAAATGGTTTTAAGATGAACAAGAGTAGTGTTGTTGTTTGACATTTGTTATTTTATATGGCAACTGTCCATTGGACTCTAAGAATGGTGTTTCTCTGTTTGTTTTTTTTGTTTTTTGGGTGGAGTAAGCGTAAGGGTTAATGCTTAGGTATTGGGATTAATATGAGGTCATAGGATATATAAATCTACAACTTTTAAATTTTGTTTTGGATGGAGCCAAGAAGGGTTAAAACACCTGTCAGGTTTATATTTCCATCTGTGTCCCCGCTGGGGAGAATCACAATCTGCATTCCTCAGTGACACTGTCATCAGAACAGAGCGTAATGGGAAGTCTAAAATTTCACAGTTTATGGGAAACAGATGAGAGGAATTCTTTCAGTTTGGGCGCCTGTTCTAGTGACAGTGGAAAACGTCCTCTCCCTTTGGAGAGATTTTCAGTCACATAAGGAAGTGTGGAGAAATCTCACCAATGAGGGTCAGACAACAAAACCTGACAGGAATATTAATCCTTCCCTTCAGCAAAAGCAAAAAAAAAATATTTTTGTCTTTAAATACTGTATACTCTAATGTGTAACTGCACATGTAGTCCAGTACATTCTATTTCACTCTTCACCCTGTCCCAAGATTTACTGCCATTGATTCAGAGAGTTAGGTAGGCCATAGATGGTGCAAATTTCTCTCCTGTAACCACGGGTTCCAAGAAAGAAATTTGCACAAGTCCCCTATCAACACAGACAGTGCTGACAGGGGAATTCCGCCTGCCGAGCTATGTCCTTCTCCCAGCAGGGGGGCAGAGGAAGCCGGCCCTGTCGGGAGAAGACAGTGAATATTGCTAGTGGCTATAGCAGCCACTAGCAATAATCGCAAATGAATCCAGCAGGCTGGTTGTTCCCAAGCTGATTAATCAGTCAACTTTATACATTCAGCCTACCTACACATGGTTCGAATCTCGGCCTATTCCTACTGAACCAGCCAAGATTTGAACTGTCTATGGCAGGCTTTAGGCACTATGCAGGGATTTAATATGTTGTGCTCTTTGTCAGGTTGTTGGATAGCTTTACAGAATTGCCTCAACCATTGATAACACTCCAGAGTTCCACATTCAGACATTAATTGTTTTCTCTCTCTCTTTGTGTCTCCTCCGGTCAGTTCTGCAATGTCTTCCCGTTCCTCCTCAAACTGCCAGTGTTGCCAAAGATCCTCTTTAAAGAAAGGGCCTACCTGCAGAATTTTTTGCTAAAATACATCGAGGAGCACAAGCGCACCTTGAAGCCCGAGGCCCCTCGAGATTTTACCGATCATTTTCTGCTCAAGATAAAGGAGGTGCTTACATGAAACGTAACATTTTAAAGTGTCTTCCCTCTTCTACCATCTCTTTCCTATTCACTTCCTCTCCTCTCCCCTTTATCTCATTTTCCTCTATTCTCCTCTTGCTCTCATTTCCTATCCACCCACTCTACCTTTCTTTTCCTCTGCCTCTCTTCTGCTCCTTTCCTCTCCCTCTTCTCCTCTCCTTTTTCTTCTCCTCTATTCTGTTTCGTTTTTTTTCTTCTTCCTCTCCTCATCTTCTCTTTTCTCCTCTCCCTCTCTCTGTCCTTCTGCTCTCCTCTGCTTCTCCTCTCCCTCTCTCTGGCCTTCTCCTCTCTCTCTCCTTCTGCTCTCCTCTCCTTCTCCTCTCTCTCTCTCCTTCTGCTCTCCTCTCCTTCTCCTCTCTCTCTCCTTCTCTCCTCTCCTTCCTCTCCCTTTCTCTGTCCTTCTCCTCTCTCTCTCCCCCCTCTCCTCTCTCTCTCCCTCTCTCTGTCCTTCTTCTCCTCTCCCTCCCTCTCTCTGCCCTTCTCCTCTCCCTCTCTCTGTCCTTCTGCTTCTTCTCTCCCTCTCTCTCCTTCTGCTTCTCCTCTCTCTCTCCTTCTCCTCTCCCTCTACTCTCCCTCTCTGTCCTTCTGCTCTCTCTCTCCTTCTGCTTCTCCTCTCTCTCTTCTTCTCCTCTCCCTCTCTCTCTTCTTCTCCTCTCCCTCTCTCTCTCCTTCTGCTCTCCTCTGCTTCTCATCTCTTTCTCCTTCTCTCCCTCTCCTTCTCCTCTCCCTCTCTCTGTCCTTCTCCTCCCTCTATCCTTCTGCTTCTCCTCTCTCCTTCTCCCTCTCTCTGCTCCTCATTTCTCTCTCCTTCCTCTCCCTCTCGCTATCTTTCTCCTCTCTCTCCTTCTCTGTTTCTCCTCTCTCTCTCTCCTTCCTCTCCTTCTCATTGTCCTTCTCCTCTCTCTCCTTCTGCTCTCCTCTCTCTCTCTCCTCCTCTCCCTCTTCTTTCTCTTCTCTCTTCCTCTCCTCCTCCTTTTCCTTTTTCTCCTCTGACATCTTCTCCCCTCCTCTTGTTCTCTTGTCATCTTTCCTCCTCTGCTGCTCTTCTACCCTCTCATCTCCTCCCTACAACAAATGAACTAAAAATTGAACATCCAAAGCACAAAATTATGTGTAAACTTGAAAAAAAGTGCTTAAGCTCATGTGTGTAAAAAAACATGTTACTGCATAGGCATGGTATGAAAGGGCCCTTAATTGCCTTGCAGTAGTAGTATTTAGTTTGTGCATTTTGCTCGCTCCAGTTATCTGACAATGGTTCTCTCTGTGCCTGCTCAGGAGGAGCACGAAGAGGACCCGAATTTCTGTGATTTGAGTCTCCTGAATGTCCTGGTGGGGCTGTTGGCAGCGGGTTCTGAGACCACAGATTCTACCCTGAAATTCTGCCTGGCCTTCATGGCCCACTATCCTGATGTCCAGGGTAAGATCAATAATAGGCTGTGGAAGAGTGATTATTCTTGTTATTTCCTGAAGCAATAGTGATAAGAAATATACCCAAAATGAACACAAACATAAACAAACACCTGGCAGAACCCATTAAATACTAATTAAGAAATTTTGACAAAAGTAAAAAAAATGACCTGTGCCATGGACTGGCCTTCCATCTGTGTGCCTCAGCAGGAATTGAGGTTTCATTAGACCAGGATACATTTCTCCAGTCTTCTTATGTCCAGTTTTGGTGGGCCTGTGCAATGGGCACAGTATTGGATGGATTCTTCTTCTTCACTAACAGGAGTGGAACCCAATGTGGTCTTCTGTTGTTGTAGCCCATCGACTTCAAACTTAATGTGTTGACCATTCTGAGATGCTTTTCTGTTCTCCAAAGTTGAAAAAGTCCAAAGATGAAAGTGATTATCTGAGTTACTGTAGCCTTAATCAGCGTTAACCAGTCTGACCGTTCTTCTCCAACCTCTGTCATCGGCAAGGAGTTTCTGTCTGCAGAACTGCCTCTGCTGGATGTTTTTTGAATTTTCTCAACATTATGAGTAAACTCTAGTCTAGAGCAACCATTCTCAGCCAAGGTTCTGTGGAACACTTGGGTTCCTCCAGACGTTGATAGAGGTTCTTTGAGCTGTAGCTGATTAATCCCTCATTTCTTGATCCCTGCATTTTCCCGTAGCCAATGCTACTTGGCAAAACTAGCAACTTGGCATAGTTATCTTGTAACCTGGCTGTAAAGGTGACATTTTAACCATCAATGTAAAGCTGACCATAGACAGTTCGAATCTCGGCCAGTTCAGCAGGAGATTTGAACCATGTATGGGCAGGCAGATGCACCCAAGTCGATCAACCAACTTGGGTACAACCAGCCTGCCGGATTTTACATTCAAATAGCCATAATTATGTCTTCTCCTGGCAGGGGCAGCCCCCCCCCCCCCCCCCCCCCACAACCAGAAGAGCACAGGAGGGATATCCCCCATCAACACTGACTCTGTTAATGGGGGAATTGAGCGTTTTTTTTTTTCCAGCAACCTGTTGTTGCAGGAAACAATATTTTTGACTTTTTGCTATTAAACATATCCTGTAAAAAAAATGAAAAAAATCAAATTGCATCATAAATTTAGGCCAAAATGTATTCTGCTCCATGTCTTTGCTAAAAAAAAAAATTCCAATACGTGTAAATTAATTGGTTTACGTGAAAGTTAAAATGGCGATATAGATAATTTTCTTTTTTCTACTAGTAATGGCGGCGATCAGTGACTTTTAGGGGACTGCGGCAGACATTCTGACACTGGGGGGGAATTAACTTGGTGTCACTGACATCCCCAGTGACACCAATACAGTGATCAGAGCAAAAAAAAGCACTGACACTGTACTAATGGCGCTGGGCAGGAAGGGGTTAACATGAGGGGCAATCAAAGGGTTAACTGTGTGCAGGGAGTGTTTTTACTAGGGGACGGTGTCTGTGTGCTTCACTGTAATCACACTGCTGTGGATGGCTGTGCTGTGCAGTGTGCCCGAGCTGACAGGGAGGAGGACTATTGGTAAACAAAACAGTCTTCCTCCCCATCGGTGCTTGGCCGTAATCACTGGGTGCCAGCGAGTAATTACTGGTGGGACCCGTGATTGACATCACAGCCGCGAATGGCTGCGTGGGTAGGGGGCGCGTGACTCGAGCGCGTGACTCAAGCGCGCCCCCTACCCAAAAATGCAAAATCACGCATACATACGTGATTTTGCACACAGGTGCCGCCCTGTAGCAGTATATCTGCTATAGGGCAGTCCTTAAGCGGTTAATCATTGTTTATATTTTCTCTTTTGTTGGCTTTGCTCACTACTTGGGTGCCCTCCTACAGTCCACAATGTTTTGTTTTATATACTGTATATTCTTAAAGGTTATGTTTGCTCATTGAACTTCAGCACGTGCAACATTCACACACCTAATTCTATCATTTCCTTTCAGTGAAGGTCCAGCAGGAGATTGATGACTTGTTGCCGTCACAGCGCCTAGTTGGGATCGAAGACAGGCTACAACTGCCATACACTAATGCGGTGATCCATGAAATACAGAGAGTCTTAGACTTGGCCCCAACTGCTCTCTTCCACGCCGTGACCAAAGACATCCAATTCCGTGGATACACCTTCCCAAAGGTGCCTGACTACAGTGACAAAGAAAGGTGGTGGAAAGCAAGCAGACATTACAGTCTGTTAGGAGAGGTCACATAGAGACAATAATACACTGAGCAACCATACCATTATGACCCTCCACCTGATATTGAGTAGGTCCCACTGTTTGCCATTAAAACAGCCCTAACCCATTGAGGCATGAACTCCATACTGCCTCTGCTGGCCATAGTGCATCCTGGGGCCGTCTCTTCCCCAGGTAAGTGACACACACAACCAACCTTCCACAGGATGTAAAAGAAAATGTGATTCATCAGACCAGACCACCTTCTTCCATTGCTCCCTGCTCCAGTTCTGATGCTCATGTGCCCATTGTAGGCACTTTTGGCTATGGACACAAGTCAGAATGGGAAGGGCCATCTTAATGCATGGGGGCTCCATGTCCATTGGGGCCCCATGACATAGCTACCAACTGTCCCTTTTTTTTTAACCAGCTGTCCTGCAGTGGCTTTGTCCTGACCTATATCCCAGGGCTGGAGACCTGGGGACAGCTGCCATATTGTATGATGCCCAACACACAGAGTGGTATTAGGGTGCCATGTTCTGGAACTCCGTGTTCCAGCACCCGGCACAGGAAGGAAGACTGCACTATGGGTGGAGTTATCTCCACCCCAGTACAAGGAAAGTTCTAGCCAGGAGAGAGTGGCGAGGGAACCTGTGATCATGTACTGTAGGTGATTAGAATTGGGGAGAAGGCTACGACTAAGTAAAGGGTTAACATTCATTGCCATTGTAATTGATGCAGGAGCAGTGGGTGGGGGGTTAATTTTCACTGTCACTCCCACTAATGCAGGAGTGGGGGATGGGGGGGGGGTTACATTTCATTGCCAGAACCACCAATAATGCAGGTGGAGGATGGGGGGGGGGGGCGGTTATCTTTCACTTCCATTGTAGATACCCCCCCCCCCCTTCCACCTGCAATGGTAGTCATGGTAGTGAAATTTCAACTCAGCATCCCCCCTTCTGCATTTGTGGTCATGAAAGTGAAAGTTAACCTGTAGCACACTTTGCCATATTCCTGGTAGGGTCCCCAGTGCATTACTTTGCTCAGGGGCCCATGATGCTAATAAGACAGCCCTAAGCAAGGGCACCCTGACCGGTCTGCAGCTCTGCAGCCCCATACACAACATTCAGAGATGTACTGTGTGTTCTGACACCTTTCTACAGTAGCTTTTCTATTGGATGAGACTACACAGGCCAGCCTTTGGTTCCCATGGGCATCCATGAGCGTTGGTTGGCCATGACCCATTTGTTGGTTCACCAGTTTTCCTGCCTTGGACCCCTTTTGGTTGGTCCTGACCACTGCAAACCAGGAACATCCCAAGAGCTGTAGTTTTGGAGTTGCTCTGACCCAGTCGTCCCGCCATTACAATTTGGCCCGTGTCAAAGTCACACAAATCCTTACGCTTGACCATTTTTTTTTTACTTTCTACACATCAACTTGCTGCTATGTTCACTTGCTGCCTAATGTATCCCACCCACTTTCAGATGTAACAAGATAATCAATGGTATGCACGTTACCTGTCAGTGGTCATAATGTTATGGCTAATCGGTGTGTATTATTATTATACAGTTTACAAGCGCCTGGGCAGACGGGCGGCTGCTGTAGACAAAGCGGTGTACGGGTAGGTTGTTGCCGACTTCCAGGTTTTGGGTGCACACATACGCACTCCCCTGCTGTGATTGTACACAGTGGGAGCCCGTCAGCATACCCCAACTAATGATCCATGGCTGGGGCCTGCTGATCGGCTGTGTCCAATCACAGCCCAGAGCCCTGTGTTGGTAAACAACACAGAGCTTTGTACAGAGGAAGCGATCTGTAAGTTTCTTTAGAATATATTTTAAAACATTTTTTAAAATATATTCTAAAAATATTCTTCCCAAACATAATGGCATATATTTGAAATGCTACAATTTTGGCCGTATTCAATATATTTCAAAATACATTTCAATACACATATATACTGTATATGTATGTGTGTGTATATATATATATATATATATATATATATATATATATACATACATACACACTGCATGTTGAAATGCATTTTTTATACATTACAAAATATATGAAAAATATTTTGAAAAATATTTTTTTAAATATATTCTTCAGATTTTTTTTAACATATAAAAAAGTCATTTTAACATATATTTTTACATGTATTTGTATATGCATTCTGAAAATGTAGATTAAATGTATAAAGACATACAGTATATTTTGAAATGTATTTTTAAAAATATTTTTCATATATTTTGTACTAAAAATGCATTTCAACATACAGTGTATGTGTGTGTGTGTGTATATATATATATATATATATATATATATATATAAAAATCACCCTAGATGTTAACTCCTTTCCAGCCAGTGTCATTAATACAGTGACAGTGTATAGTATTATAAACTGTCCATTGACTGTCTGTGGCAGTCAGTTCTCCCCAGCATCAGTTCTAATGCCTTCTGCATTATCACAGTCCTGTTATAAGCCGCCATTAGTACTATAAAAAATAAAAAACTCCAGTATATATACCATAGTTTGTAGGTGCTATAATGTTCACAGAAATCAATCAATATACTCTTATTGTGTTTTTTTTTTATCAAATACATGCAGCAGATTAAATTTTGGCCAAAATGTATGAAGAAATTGTATTTTTAATTTTTTTATTGAATGATTTATAGCAGAATGTAAAAAATATTTTTTTTTTCTGAAAATCTGGTCTTTTTCATTTATATTGGAAAAAAAACAGTGATGATCAAATACCACCAAACGAAAGCTCAATCTGTGTGAAAAAATTTTGAATTTAGTTTGTAACATTGTTGCATGACTGTGCAATTACCAGTTAAAATAGCACAGTGCGGTATAGCAAAATATGGCCTGATCATCAAATATGAGGGCAGAAAGTACAAACAAAATCAAATTTCATTTTGGTTGCTCATTCTGAGTTTTCCTCTGTTGATATGCACCAAAATGTAATATACTACTACACTACTAGTATGTAGAAAAGGGAGTTAGAAATAGTTCTCTGTTTCTGCTCAGGCACCTGTTTGTTTCCTAGTTACTCTTTACATTATACTTACATTACACACTTACACAGCAATATGCAAATGATCTGCGTATTCAACTCATCACAGTCTCTGACATGATGAAAACGATGCTGAGCCTGTATGATGAGATTGTACTCATGTATAACAGTGACCCTGTCTCTCTCCTTTTCCAGGGTACCATCATTACCCCATTCCTGACATCGGTGCTTAATGACCCCTCACAGTGGGAGACGCCAGAAAAATTCAACCCCGGGCACTTCCTAGATCAAGAAGGGCAGTTCCGCAATCGGGCAGCCTTCATGCCATTCTCAGCTGGTGAGATATTCACAACCTTCACGACAACCATTATACCTAAAATCCCCAGAATTCATAGATAGGGTACAAACTTCTTGCCCAAATCTCCTCTTCCTCATCCAGGAGTAATGCGCCACCGACACCAAGAAGTCCCCCTGCCACCAGTAAAGTGTTTTAGGGACACGTCTCCTATTTGAATGCGCAGTAGGATATTCCTACCTCCTCTCATGGTCTTCTGTAATCCATGGGGGTCAAGAGATGGCTCCATGACACCAGCTTCTGAGCTGTTCTCACATCCCAGCCTTGTTCCACTCATCCTTCTCAAAGTGCCCCCCACTACTACTCTCTGCACTTTTCTGAACTCCCCAATCTCCCGTGTATCCTCCTAAACCCATCAGGAAGTGGAGAGAGATGAGGAGACACCCGTCTTGGTGCTAATCTAATGGACTGACTTTTGCAGTGATTGGTTTTATATCCATAGAGTCAAGTTAGGATAAAATTGCAATATAATCATTCAAATTGTAGAACATATTGGAGGGGATTTACTAAAATTGGAGCATTCAGAGTCTAGTGCAGCTGTGCACGATAGCCAATCAGCTTCTAACTTCAGCTTGTTCAATGAAGCTTTGGCAATGAAACCTGGGAGCTGATTGGTTTCACTGCAGAGCTGCACCAGAATTTGCACTCTCCAGTTTTAGACAATGTTTTTACTGAATTCTGGGAGACCTGGCAGTACATAGGCTGCTTTAAGTCAAGTACAATTAAATTCCTTGATATTCAAAGCTCTGACATCCACTCCTCCCAAAAAAATATACTACAATATTGTCCCATCATTTTTTTTTACATGTGACTATTGAAAGGATGCCTTTTGTCTTTCTGGAGAGGATGGAACAATCCCTAAACTCCATCTGTTGTAGTGCCCATACTGCCATGAAGGGAGAGGATAGGCAAACACCTGTGGCAAGTAATCACCCCCCCAATCCCATCCCCAGCATCCATCAAAGTGATTTGAAGTGGTATGGATCCTTTGAAGTCCCCTGGAGTATGTTGAATGTTTAACAAAATTCCAATAAAAATCTTCTGTGGACTTTGTACAGCAGGCTTGGCACTTTCCTCCTTGTACATAAAGTTGATCTGAGATATGACCTGGTCTATGGCCCTGGTTCTCTAGAGCAGCCTTTCTCAACCAGGGTGTCCAGGCGCCCTGGGGTGCCTTGAGGTTTCTTCAGGGGTGCCCTGGCAAAATGTGTAGAGATTGCCCAAAACATGTATACAAGCCAGCGGATGGAACAAGCCTGCCTTTTAGTTACAGAGTCACGGGTTTTCATTGTGCACCATTACGACCTTCTAGCCATCGGCGACCTGACAACCAATGACATCATCAGTTGATAAGGAGGATGTCATCTGCCTCCACAGCATCCTAGTTTTACCCTCCCCTGCTCCTCTCATTCAATGCTAGGGTTAAATTAGCTCAGTGATGGAGAAAAACTGAAGGAGAAGAGAAACACTGGAATACTAGTCAGTACCAGCATACAAAAGTGTATTTGCTTCGGAAGAATAAATCACCTCTAATGTTGGGTGTTCTACATGTGTGGATGTTGCTGCATTATATAAAATTATTAGAATAGTTTTTCACATTTTAGAATGGGGCGCCCTTTTAAAATTATGGACAGTCTAGAGCAGGGGTGTCAAACTGTTGGCTCTCCAGCTGTTGCGAAACTACAAGTCCATCATGCCTCTACCTTTGGGAGTCATGCTTGTAACTGTCAATCTTGCAATGCCTCGTGGGACTTGTAGTTTGGCAACAGCTGGAGGGCCGCTAGTTTGACACCTGTGGTCTAGAGGCCCCTATTTTAGAATGGGGTGCCTCAAGACTGTCCATAATTTTAAAGGGTTTAAAAAGGGTGCCTCGAGACTGTCCATAATTTTAAAGGGTGCCTCGAGACTGTCCATAATTTTAAAGGGTGCCTCGGGACTGTCCATAATTTTAAAGGGTGCCTCGGGACTGTCCATAATTTTAAAGGGTGCCTCGAGACTGTCCATAATTTTAAAGGGTGCCTCGAGACTGTCCATAATTTTAAAGGGTGCCTCGAGACTGTCCATAATTTTAAAGGGTGCCTCGAGACTGTCCATAATTTTAAAGGGTGCCTCGAGAGACTGTCCATAATTTTAAAGGGTGCCTCGAGACTGTCCATAATTTTAAAGGGTGCCTCGAGACTGTCCATAATTTTAAAGGTGCCTCGAGACTGTCCATAATTTTAAAGGGTGCCTCGAGACTGTCCATAATTTTAAAGGGTGCCTCGAGACTGTCCATAATTTTAAAGGGTGCCTCGAGACTGTCCATAATTTTAAAGGGTGCCTCGAGACTGTCCATAATTTTAAAGGGTGTCTCGAGACTGTCCATAATTTTAAAGGGTGCCTCGAGACTGTCCATAATTCTAAAGGGGTGCATTGACTGAAATAAGGATGAGAAACACTGCTGTAGAGAGCCTCCTAAGGGAATATTCTCCTCTACCTTCCTTCCCCACCAATGTAAGGGAGCATTGTTCTGCCCGCTAAATCTCACCTTAAGGCCACTTCTTGGATTGGATGGTAAGCAGGAAAAAAATGCAGAGGCCTAAAAATTATTGGTGTCAATGGCACCCCAGTTATGCCTGCATTCACAGAGCCACCTCTCCCCTTTCCAAGATGAAAGTAGCTTCTCTAACCCTCAGAAATCATTTAAAGCCAACTGCACTCTTTAAATGACTAACTTTAAAAATCATCTTAACATGGCTTTTCACATTGACTCCAGTGGCCAATGGTCCAAATCTTACATCATGTGGGCTTACCAAACCTACTGCCAGCACGGTCTTTGGTTGTGTACACCTAAACACCACATCCTTTCTGTGTTCACGTAGAGCTTGGTATTTTGTAATAATTGTTAATTTACTTGATTGCAAAATTTACCCAATAATAACAGCCATGTTGCTGGAATGTATCTGCCATATCTGGACCTCTTCCTTGTCTTTTCCGCAGGAAAGCGTGTTTGTGCTGGGGAGAATTTAGCTCGAATGGAACTCTTCCTTCTCTTCTCTGCTGTGCTCCAGAAATTTACCATCAAGCTGCCCCCAGGAGCCGAGTGCCAGGATGCCAAATGGCTGCATGCTAATAAAACTTCAGTAGTTGCATGTGACCAGCTGTGTGCTGTCCCCCGAGCATCACCCACCATGTAGTCTGCAACATTCTTAGACAAATGTATGGAGAGCAGACCTATAGAGGAACTCCCCGACATATTTCTAAACCAGGGGTGGTGGAGGTTATCTGTAAAGTTCACCAATCAACGCAGATACACAGAGAGAACAAGGACATTATTGTTAAACATGTTTTTATCTATTAAACTTGGAGAAATACCATTTAAGGAGGATAAACGATGTCAAGTATTTCTGTTTTTGCATAAAAAAAAAAAAAATGTGTTTAATATACAAAACAAATTATTAGACACATGATATATGCAAGACAAATTCTAAACTAATAATTATGAAATGTTCTTGTGAAAAAGGTTGTGTGTGGATGGGTGGTAGACCTGCTCTCCCTTGTGTTTGGGAACAGAACACAACATTGGTGGTCACAAGGTTTTATTGGGCCTAAAGCTTAAAGTTACAACCACCACAACTCACTTGAACAAATTCACCAAGCGTTGGATTGTTCACCCACTAATAGTGAGCTGGGTTTAGGCCATCGTGAGATTTTATTTTTAATGGTTGAACTGGATGGACTTTTTCAGCCAGACTAACTATGAACACTGGTTTCAGGCAGTCGAGGTGAGATTCTTCCCTCTAAGCAACCTCTGCAATCCATAAGTTGGTCTTCCAATGGTTCCCTCTACAAATGTTTTTGGGATCCCATGTCCCATATCCTCAGACCTATAAGTGAAGTCTTCCACACTTTGTCCCCTTCTAGATTAGAACGGTTACTAGACCTTCAAGCTGCACAAACAGTTCTCACACCAGTGTTGAAGACCCTTTTGACTCTCTTCTTTTTCCCGGCACAAAGGAAAGAATGTCAAGTTGGGTTCAGATATATATAATATAATATAATATTATAATATATATTTAGTCTTTACATCAACAGATGGCATTGAAAAGACAGATCATTAAAATGGACATACTTCTTCTCTTCCCAGATTAAACATTCCCTTTTAGGGTGGCAAAAGACTTCATTCTTTCAAAGTACTTTGAGAATTAAACTTCACATGACTATTCCAAAAAAGGTGTAGTGCTTACCCCCGAAGGAGCTGCTTGATGTGTCCGGTTCTCTGTTAATGTGCTCAAGAATCTTGCTAACAGCTCTGTACTCTCTGATACACCTGACTGGGATGGGTAGGTGGTTGCAAATACCTGTGTGTGAACATATATATACTGTATTTGAACTACTATGCAAACATTTTTAGGCATGTGTGGAAAAATTCTGTAAATGAAGAATGTTTTCAGAATAGTTTCTTATTATCATTTAACAAAATTAAAGTAAATGAACAGAAGAGAAATCCAAATCAAATCAATATTTGGTGTGACCACCCTTTTCCTTGAAAACAGCATCAATTCTTCTCGGTATGGTTGGTTCAAACATCCTGGAGAACTAAGCACAGATCTTCTGTGGATGTCGGCTGCCTCAAATCCTTCTGTCTCTTCATGTAATCCCAGACAGACTCCATGATGTTGGGATCAGGGCTCTGTGGGGGCCAAAGCATCATTTCCAAGACTCCTTGTTCTTCTTTAGGTTGAAGATAGTTCTTAATGACATTGGCTGTGTGTTTGGGGTTGTTGTCCTCAGGGGCATATTTACCACAAGGCAAACGCCTAGGGCTGCATTTTTTAGGTGGGCAACACTGCCCCCCCAGAAGAAGGGATATACAGTTGCAAGAAAAAGTATGTGAACCCCTTGGGATTCCGTGGAGTTTTGCATGAATTGGGCATAAAATGTGCTCTGAACGTCATCTAAGTCACAACAATAGAAGAACACAGTCTGCTGAACATAATACTACACAAACATTAGATGTTGCCATGGTTTAATTGCACATAACATGTAAACATTCACAGTGCAG